CTACTCGGGCCATTCCCGCCAGCAACAAGAAGAAGGAAGTTCCTAGTAGTGGCAGTAGACTACTTCACCAAGTGGGTTGAAGCTGAAACTCTCGTAACCATCACAACTCGAAACGTCCAGAACTTCTTCTGGAAGAACATAGTGTGCCGATTCAGGCTACCTCGGGTGCTGATCTTCGACAATGGCAAGCAGTTCGAGGACATCAAATTCCAAGAGTGGTGCCAAGACATGGGAATCCGGCAAAACTTCACGTCGGTTGCGCACCCACAAGCAAACGGTCAGACAGAAGTCACGAATAGAGCTATCCTCCGCGGACTAAAAGCTAGGCTAGACCGAGCTAAAGGGTTATAGGCAGACGAGCTGCCCAGTGTCCTATGGGCATACCGAACTACAGAAAAGACCGCCACCGGAGAAACTCCCTTCAACCTCACCTATGGCACGGAGGCAGTCATCCCAGTCGAAATCGAAATCCCCTCACTTCGGTTGGAGGCATACAACGACAATACTAATAACGACGAGCTACGTACCAACCTCGACCTACTTGACGAGGTGAGGGACCTCGCATACATCAGGACCACAGCGTACCAGCAAAGGGTAGCTCGGAACTACAACACCAGAGTTAAGAGACGAAACTTCTACGTCAGTGACCTGGTTCTCCGCAAGGTCATGGTACCTGAGCCCGGCGTTGGCAAACTCGGACCGAACTGGGAAGGACCCTACCGAGTAAAGAGAGCACTCGGGGGAGCATACGAGCTCGAGACCCTGGAGGGTAAACAGATACCCCGGGCATGGAACATCATCAACTTAAGACGATATTACCTATAAATTATCAAACTAAGCAGGCCATGAGCCACTACCAGAGCCTAAGGGCCAGAATGCCGAGGTAACAAGGACCTCGACACCATAAGAACCAGAATGCCGAGGTGAAGATGACCTCGACACCTCATCAACGAAGCAGGTTGCACGAGTATGGATCCCGAGGTGCATAGCCCAGGTGAAAAATAGATCGGGCGTATAGCCTTACTATGTTAACTCGCCTCGGGGCCTAAGTCTAGTAGTTTGGCAACATAGTCAGTTCGGCAAAAAGAGAAAATGACTGCCCAACACTTAAACAAAAAAGGGGACTATTCATTGCAAAATAATTTTGCTTACATTTCATTCCAAAAACAAAAAAAAAAGAAAAAAACAATAGCGACGAGCTCATTTGCCCGGAGGTACATCTTCCTTGCCTTTGGAAGGGACTTCGACAATACCCGAAGGTCCCGCTTCGTCTTCAGAATCCGCGTCATCATCAGCTGCTGCAGCCATTTCCGGAGTGATGCGCGAAGTGGTTATGGCACTAATGTCAAGCTCGGGGTACGTATTCCTTATCATCCATCGACTCAACTTGAAACCCCTTCTGTACGAGCCCACCATCATGTCATCAAAGTGCGGCGAAGCGATGTAATCGTTAACGGCCTTCACCTTCGTCTCCTCGATGGCCTAAGAGAAGATCTCAGTCTTCTCTCTGATATCATCCTGAAGGTATCCGACCTGATGCTCCAGGTCCAGCTTCAGGTCCGCCATGTGTTTCACCACCAATCCTAAGGCCTCGTTGTCCCTCCAAGACCTCGTTAGCTCGACTCGAGCAGTGCGGGAAGCCTCTTCGGCAGCTTGCGCTCGCTTCAAGCCCCTCTCCGCCTGGATTTTAGAGCATGGATGGAGGAGTTCACCTGCCAAAACGAGAACAAATCAGCCCGACAAAAAAAAAACTACTTCGACTTACCACCATGGCGTGAGTAATTGCACGCACGCCTATGTGTTTCGGAGGAAGATCGACCCACGCCGCGACCTCTTCAGGGCAAATAGCCTTCTTACTTTTTTGGAGAGCGTACCTCGGCTTCAGCATGCTCCCAGCCCCATCCTAACTTCCCGAGCCTGAAGGCACAGCCCGGGTATAAGCAGTATCGGCTTAGGGGACCCCTGCCGCTTCCTGAATTGGAGGGGCCACCTCGGGCTCCCCAAAAGGCTCCATTCTCGGTGCCTCGGGCTCCACAACCCGGGAAGGATCGGCACGGACCCACTTAGCGGCTCGTTTCCTCCTCCTCATACCATCAAACAAGCTCGCACCTCGAGTCTTCTCTGCCTCCATAACACCTGCAAAAAGAGCTCGGCGTCAAAAGACGAGAATAAAAAACAAAGCAAAAGCAAGCCTCTCAGATCACTCTGCAAAAGTGAATCACTCCAAGATACATAGAAGATCCTATTTTATTTTTTTTTTTTTTTTTTTTGTAAAAAACAGGTCTTAGAAACATGGACATTTTTTCTTAAAATTTGGTCACAAAAAGCGCCTTTCAAACAAAATATAAAGTGTAAAACCTTATATTTTGTATGTATTTATATTTATATATATTTGTATTTGTATTCTTTTCGTACTAAGCCCAAATGTCAAAAGAAAAATAAAACATATTGTTCAAATGGCTATATTCCTTTTTTTTTCTTTTTCCTTTTCTTTTCTTAGACTCAAACCCGAATTCTCATGCTTGTCAGACGCAAATAATGGCTCCTAACATTGCTATTTGGTTGCGGTGCATATCTTAACTGAGTCCAATTTTTTTTTTTTTTTCTCTTTTGCACTCATTGAAATGAGTGCAAATTTTTCATCCCAGAAACTGATACAAAATTTGCATCACCTTCCTCCTACCTCATTTCTCATATAAAGTTGCGACCAAATTAATCATCATGCATCCTAACTTAATTACTCCTATATATACAGATAACCCTCATCCTACCTCCATATATTCTCTTTCTCTTTCATTTAAAGTAGAGGTGACTTCATTTTACTTTTTATAAAGAATAAGACAAAGTCAAATCTAATGTAGAAGTAAACCAGAATTTACACTCAACCCTTTTGCACTCTTTATGTATTTGCACCAGTGCAAATGGAATTTGTACTGCAACCAAACTTAACCTAAGGGGGAAAAAGTTGAGAGTCCAAGCGTATTGACATACCATAGTTTGTGGGGTGTTCCATTATTTGGCTAATGTAACTGTAGAGGTTGATGTTTGAGTATTTGAACCCATCCAACTGACTCTCCAGTTTTAGGAGGAGTTGGGAGAAGGCCGCATTGTGCAGTTTTGCTAGATGTGAGGCATCTTTTAGGCAACCACCCTTTCTTCCTGGTGCAAGTGCTCTCATGCCTGGTAAGCATCCCAAAGGTCCCATATTAAGGAAGGCAAATTTCCTTCCTCCTCTATCATGTATTTCCTGCCAAATTAAATGACAACAAGGAAGAAGAAATTAACATCCACATCAATTAATAGACTTTAAGTTGCAGGTCTAATACAATGCAATGATGACATGTTGGGCTCTTGGCTTGGACAGGACCTATCCAAACCCAGACCAACTCAAGTTTAGGCCCTGAATATTAGCCCATACAAGCCCTTAACATGGAAACCTGGAGCCCAATTAGTTTAAACTCTAATTAATATTTTAGTGTTGTTTCATGATCAAAATGGAAATGCTTCTTACCTTGATGACAGCAGTAAGGTTGCCAATTACTCTCCCAACCAGCTCTTTCTGTGAAGTCTCCTGCATACTGGAGACAGTGGAGAAAGGGCTCATATAATCGTTGTTTCCAATGCTAAAGAGGTAAACTGCTCTTGACAAGAATTTCTTGGTTTCAGCATCTCCCAACTTGTGTCTCAACGAAGTCTCCATCTCCTCAAAGTACTTTAGCTGAGTTTTGAGGTCGATTACCTGATTTAAGGATCAGAATTATCAGTGCTTCAGGTTCAGGGCAACCCATCATCACAGACCATGTGACTATGTGAAAGAGTTACATACCTCCCCTTGATAGGTTTCTACCAGAGCACCGGCTCCAGCTGATGCAAAGTTTGCTCCATAATTAAACTGAACGCCAGGTTGTAGATAGGGCGGAATCATTGGTAACTTGGCATATTTGGCTGAAATTAGATTCAAATTAAACAAATAAATTAATAAGAAACCATGTATGTTAGTAGGACAAGAGTGAACTAATATTCTGTTAATACACGATTTTGCTGGGACAACGAGTCAACGACTATGAGACAAGTCTCTATGTATAGTATTTTGTACCGGGGGCCAATTGGGATAGATCTAGAAGTGTATATTTGGTACTTAGGCCTTTTTTTCCTGCAATGCAAATTTCATATATCAGCACTAAACACATGGGAGTGCAAATGGGTTAATTGAGTGTAAATTCTCGTTTGCTTCATATTTGGCTTTATCTTAGTTGTTGTGGGAAGTAAAATGAGAAGTAAAAATTAGGTTAATGATTTGTTTGTGAGCAAGGTAGGAAGATGATATGACCCTATTTTATATGAGAGAGAATTGAAGTAGGAAAAAGGTGGTGGAAATTTTGCACAAGTTTTTAGGATGCAAAATTTGCACTGCCAATAAGTGCAAATAAGACGATTTATGCAAATTTTAGATCAGGTAACTAGCTAGGAGTGTGAATCATATTAACAAACAAATAGAAGCAATACTGAACTGGGTGCAAAATTTGTTTCCAATTCAGGTTTGACTGCACTGCGAACAGACTACAGAGCCTAGCTAAATATCAAATTTTACTTGAGGTTTGCATTTTGCATCTTAATTAATTAGGCAATCTGTCGAGGATTTGGGCTTTCTAGCAATCAGTACTGGGGGATATGGGTGGAGTTAAATGGCCAGCTCAGGTTAATCGGATAAGTGGCTCGTTCTTGTTTAGCCGAGTCAGAAATTAAGGGAGAAAACAAAAAAGAAGAGCTGAACTCATGTATCTTACCAATGAAATCTGAGATGAGACGACCATCACTACATCTCCCAGTAGAATATTCGAAGAACGTCTCTCCATATGGCCAGAAATTTGCCTGGTGCTGAGTAGTAGTGTTTATGTAGTTGTTGTTCCCAGGATCCAAGATTGAATCACCGAAGATGAAGAAGGGGACAGGCGTTTCCGGCTGCCGGAGGTGACCAGAACAGCTACTGGGGACGAGAAGGATTCGATGCAGAGCCAAGATGCAGAACAGGAAACTTAGCTTTGCCATGTAGAGTATAGTTGATCACTTGATCTCCTTTCAACAAACTTCCAAAATCTCACCTCATAATATAGCCACCATAAGGTTTAATTATCATTGACCTTCTGCTATTAGCTAGATTTCCACGCAGTTTCTCATATGTGTTTGGTATAGAGTATGATCTCATCACCACTTGAACGGTTCCCAGCTTCAGAGGACTTTTCCTACTTTAAAAAATCGGTTTGTTTCAAAAGAAGCTTGGGGTGTTCTTCAATGTGAGTTCTTTTATCTTGTTGCCGACATCTTGGGTTTAAAAATAAATTATTTCTAAAAATAAAAGCATGGAAAACACATTTTGTAAATATATATACATATATGTATATATTATTGTAAAACCTGAAACCAAAAATGCATTCTTAAATTTCTGATTTGAAAGAAAACATATTTTTTGTTTCATTTCATATAATATCTATAAAAACCAACTTGTTGAGTTGTGCTTTAATTCTTTTGTAGAACATTTCATTTCTTTTTTCTTTTTTTTTTTTATTGCCTTAATCCGAAAAAGGATAAAACATAATAGACCCAAGGCCCACAATTATATTTGATTTGCCAATAAATACCATATTATCTTGAGGACAACTTGCGACTATGGACCCGGGCGGCCATATTGAGGTCAATTTTGATCGCTTTGTCGTTGAATACTTGGGCTTTGGGATAATACTGTTAGGAAGCGTGGGCTCAAAGGAATGTTGACTTCCTTTATCGTAAGATATATGATGAGAAGTAGGGGAGAAAAATATATATCACCCAGGACAAGACGGTACAGACGATAGTTATTGGTTATACTGCCATTGTTGTAAAGACAGAACAGCTCAATGGGTTAAACCAGATGAACCAGTAAACTCTACCCATAACCAGATGAACCGGAGAAACTCTTTGTGATAATTAAGTCGGTTTGGCTCGTAAATAGATTTGCAAAACTGTCTGGTGTAACCTGGAAAAAGTCACTTAAGGATGCATTTAATTCATGTAGAAGGGGCAGAAAATAAAGTTTTGGCAGTAAAAAAATGCTTAAATATAACTGAATTTTATAAAATTATCTACAACAAAAATGCTTGAAATATATAACTGGGGAACGTACAGATTAAAAATGTTTCTGAAGCAATGTGGTCCAAGATTGTTTGGATTGGAGGTAAAGAAGTCGAAATATGGGAGGTAAAATCAAAAAGGTTGCAATTGATTGCAATGCAAATTTCAGTTGCACTGGTGTAAATGCATGAGAATGCAAATAGGTTGGATGTACGCAAATTCTGATTTACTTTTGCTTCAATTTGAGTCTTGTTTGTAAAAAAGTAATGTACGGAAGTAGAATAATGGAACGGGATCTGCCCCTCACACATGAGGCGCTCACATCCACCATGCATTGGGAACATCTCCCATGAATAATAACTTATAAATACGGAAGATGTTCCCAATGCATGGTAGGATGTATGTGTGAGATCGGTGTAAGGCATTCTGTGTAAGGAATAAATCCGGTCTCTAGAATAATATATGGATGTACTCCACCTAGGGGTGGCAATTTTTCACCCAACCCACCCAGTATCTAATCCACCCATTTAAATGGGTTGAGTTGGGTTGGGTTATGGATAACCGTTAGGTTAGTCATTACAGACATTAGCACTAATTCCTTAGCCTTTTTTTTTTCTTCATTTGAATTAAATAATTTATAATTAATGCATTAATTTTCTATTAATTATTGACTAAATTTAGTTTTCTTGAATCAACACACTTCATCCAACATAAATCCAAATCAATTTGACCCAAGTCTAGACCAGTTCAATGCGGTCTGACCCAATCCAACATATACCGATCTGGGTCCTCGGACGGGATGGCTCGGTACCGCTTGCTTTGTGTAGTTTGGGTCATTCTGTCCAACCATTATTCACACAACCCGGCTTGACCTGGTACAAGATTATTCGGGTTGACCCAAATCCAAAACGGGTCGGACTGGGTGGGGTCCGAACCCTAAACCGCCCCGCTTGCTTTTGCCCGGTTTGGATCGTTCAATTTGGTTCATATCCGTACAACCCGACCCAAATCCAGGTCGGTCCAACTTACTTCTTTTGACCTGTTTCAGGCCAATCGGTTCGGCCCCAAACGCGTGTGCAAGCCTAACATGAGCCGACCCAAGTCAATCCACCAATTGACTGAACCGGCCCGGTTGGGGTCTGACCCGACTGAATTGAACCACTCTGGTCCGATCGGACCGGTCCGATCGGGTTTTTGTCCGACCGGACTAAACCAGTTCGGGTTGGGTCTAGTCCGACCAGACTGATTTGTTTGATCTGGTTCAGGTTTGCACTCCACCAACACAGCTAAAGGAACAAAAAAATGAAATAATTAATTGGCTACCCGTGCACATTCTAGCATCTATTTTTCTCCCTCCTTTTGAGTGTGTGTGTGTTTCTTGTTTGAGCCAAACAGCTCAAACTTATGTCATGAATATTTTTTAATTAGCTGGACATTTCCAACTCAACCTCAATTTGAAGAGAGCCTAAACTCCATATTGGTTTGCAGTGTTAATCTAAACCAGATACAAAATTTGCATCTAGTTCATATTTGCATGTATTATTTGCAACTACAATGTGCATCCTTGATGCAAAATTCGTATTTTATCTCTTTTGCATTTATCGGTCGGGAAGATTTTGCAAATAAAAATGGATTCTTGGATCTAACAATCTCTAAACTTTGTGAAAGGGCCAACTTCAACCCTAAAGAATTTAAAGGATCATTTTTTTAACCCACATTTTGGAGAAAAATTCAATCGTAGGCAAAAACAGATGACGTTTGAAAGAACTTTGACAGATCCATTAGAGAACATTATGTGGCACTGTTAAAGTTTGAAAAAGGCCACTTTTGACCCTAAAGTTTGAAAATGGGCCAATTTAATAAACTTAATTAAGTAAATTACTTCAGGCCAGGTCTAAATACATGACCCTAAACTATTTAATTTATTTAACTAAGTTAATTAATTAAATTAAATTAATTATACTAATTAAGGTAATTAATTAAATTAGTAAATTAAATTAATTAAGGAAACAAAGTTAATTAAATAGATTAATTGAAATATAAGAATAAAAATATAATATAATATAATTAAAATAATAAAATAAAATTATAATTAAAATGGATCAACACATGACATTTTAAAAAATGAAAAATAAAAATTAATTCAAAAACCCATTTACTAGATCAAACAATTTAATAGTTCAATCGTCCATGACAACTGTTTGTTAACCAAGTCAGTGCTTTTTGAAAAATTCTGGGCCAAGTATAAAATGGAATTAGACAATTATTCGGTTCTTGGGTTGAATGGTTCGACCACTTGAGTATAAAATAGAACTAGACAATTGACCAATTATTGGGTCAAACAGTTAGACCGCCAAAAATTTTTAACTTGGTCAACAAACTACTGGCCCAAATGGATGAACCACTAAACTGTTTGATCTGATAAATGATTTTGGGGCCATTTTTTATTTGATAAGATTTATTTATTTATTTATTTTAATTAATTTTGTTTCATTAATTAATTTAGTTTACTGATTCAATAGCTTATTTTACTTAATTATCTAATTTGTATAGTTTATTTAATTTAATTAAATAATTTAAATACTTTAGGGTCATTTAGTTAATGAATTTTATTAATTAATTAAGTAAATTAAAACTTAATTATACTTTAGTGTCATTTGATTAGACCCTGAAGTAATTTACTTAATTAATTCTATCAATGCTGTTTCAAATGTCGTATGTTTTTGCCTACAATGACCTTTTCTCCAAAGTCTAGGGTAGAAAATGACTCTTTAAATTTTTTAGGGTCAAAATTGTCCTTTTCAAAAAATTCAAGGGTTTTCGAGCCAAAAATCCAAATAAAAACCGATGCAAAATGTCCTCCACTACCTTCTTTCTACTTTCATTTTCTCTCTTATTATATATGTGGAGACTACATTATTTTACTAGCTTCTTACGTTATTCCTCAAAAAAGAAAAAAAAAATTGTAAAACTTGAAGCAAAAGTAAACTAGAATGTGCAGTCAGCCTATATGCATTCCCATGCATTTTCACTACTGTTAATGAAATTTGCACCGTAAACAAACAAAAGGTTACTTTGGATTCATTATTCCTCTTATTTTCAATGCAAATTCATTTGTATCAATACAAATGCATGAAAGTGAAAATAATGTTGGTTCACTTTTATTTCAGATTTCACTACTCTTTGCTTCAGGTTTTATTTTACCTCATCCATAATTGAAATAAGCAAAATAAAAATAATAGAATAAAGAACAAAATATAGAGAAAATTGAAACAAGAATAAATCAAAATTGACAATCAAATCATTTGCAATTCCACATTAATGAAATTGCACTACAAATAAACCTGGTCTTAGGCTTGTACTAACTTGTAAACTGGAGTGGACAGTGAATTTGAGAAATTTAGACCAACTTGGGCTGAAACTTTGTCCCTTGCATAGGGAATGGAATATACGCATATTGACCAATAGCTATTTGGGCGGCCACCTAATCAATTAATTAAACTGCAGCAAGATTAAGACATCCATCCATGGAATATCAACATCATATATATCTCTTTGCCATACGATCGCCGCCTAGCAGAGCTCCATCCTCCTTATCTTAATTACATTTCGAACATGGACAAGTTGTTGACCCTGCTTGGTGAGCACAAAAGTCAATCATGATAAATATGAAAGGAATCTGGAATGGAATTATGGCGTTTTGGTTTCAGACAAATCCACCGTATTTAATGTTAGTTTCTTGTTGTTGTTGTTAGTGGGGGTGGGGAGTCATTTTGTTTGGAATTCTGAGAATATGAAAGTAGCAATTGGGCGATGCCAAGCCTGGTATAGACCAAGCCTAAATGCTGTGTTTGGAAACAATGCAAATATAAGTGTGAATGTAAATATATAGAGTATAAAACGATTTATATAAATTGTAAAATTGGGTTAGTTTGTGATGCGGCATGATCTATGCATTCCTAATTGGCTGTTGACTGGTTCCTTGTTGGCAATGGACGGCACCTGAGAAGACGGAAATGAAGGATTCCCGGAGATTTTACCCTGTGGGAATACTCCGATGCTTAAGTTAGAACGCAAGAAGGAAGGAAGAAAAGAAGAGTGCGGTGCTAAGAGTGTAGGTCGCACTTTATCACTATACTTGAGAGATATGAAGTCTCAAGAATAA